GAGGGAAGGAAAAAACGAGGAACTAATACCAAGGGCTCAAGTAGAAAGGAAATATTTTGAAAATGATGATGGCAACAAATGTACAAATGTGCTGGACACATTGGATGTATGTAGGGATGGTGATAAGAGCTGTTAAGAGCCCCCTTTAAAATGATTAAAAATAAAATAAAGAAAACAAAATATAAAACAAAGCAAAAGAAAATGAAAAGAAAGAAAGAAAAGAACACAGAGAATATGAAAATAAGCCAGGGAAAAAATTTCTGTTGAGGAACAAGCAGGACATATTTAAAAGTTGAGCAAATTCAGGAAGGATCAAGAGGAGGGAGGTCAACTGACCAGATACTGTAATGTAGTTTCATCTGCCATAATCAAATTTACAATAATCTCTTGTCTGATAGTACAGGTGTTCACGTTTTTCATTTGTGGCCAGAGGGGATCTGCTAGAGGCTTAATCCAAATATGTACTCTGCAGATGGATTTTGGGCTCCCACTGTCCTCCATAGCCTTCTACAAATTGTGTGTTTACAATTTAAGTGCTGATACTTTTCCCTTCATCATATTTGGATTTTGTTATTTGTCATCTTTGGATCACCCAGGCTGGTGTGTTTCTTTGATGTAGCATTTGTTGACACTTCACTTAGATGATTGTTTGAATACAAGCCTTTAAGACCCCCAGACCCTATTCAAATAGCCAGGCACAATTTGCTTTCTTCACCACACTTTGCTGTGGCAAGCACCTTTATCTTCAGTGATCTCTTCATAAAGGTGAGTATTGAGCAGGGCTACGTTATTAGCACTAACTGTTCTTGGATTGGGTCTAGAATAAAGTGGGAGCCCAGAACCCATCTGCGTGTCTATGGCTTATGTAAAACTCTGGTTTACTTTAGCAGACATACTTGTATAATCATTTTATGATAAAATACATTATCAATCATCCCCCTAAATTATAAAGCATTCCCACTGATAACATCAATAATTTATCCAGTGGCATAGAATTTAAGATACTGTTGAGAAAAGGAGGTTATATGAGTATTGTCCAGCTGGGAAGTACAGTTCATGAGTTTTTGCTTTGTACAGATTAAATTTTTAAATGATTGAGCTCTGTTTACAACGACTATGAGTTTTAGTGCTAGGGGAAATTTTCCCATAACATCCTTTACAAGAGCAGATCCTTGCCTACAAGATCAACACATTTCATATTAATGCAAGGAGGGCATTAAAATAGAAAATACATGGTAGTTCTGGGTTCCCTTTTCATTGGATGCCCACTAAGCCAGGGGTCCTAGCCAAGGTCCAATGACCACCAATTCCATAGACTTGGGATGGCTGTCATCTGTTTCTTCTCTCATCAGGGAATTTCAGTCTTTAGTCCAAGGGCAACAGGTAATTTTGAGATAGGGCCCAATTCGTTCAGTGGGGTTTCCATATACTGTAAATCATTCTGGTGTGACTTATGTGGGATGCCGATATTCCCCATAAGACCAGACTCTGAGATCATTATAGTGCACAGTCCAGGGTTGGGCAGAAACAAATTCAAAAGTGTCTAACCAGGAATATAGCACAGAGTTTTTTCTCTCCATGAGTCCTCTAGAATTATTACTGAGTTTCCCTTCCTGATGTGAGGTTACTGCTCCCCATTTCCCCAATATCAGAAGTATAAATGTCTACTCTGAAATTTAGACG